CGTACACACGCACATACCGTCCGTCCTGTTTTCTTTCCTCGTAGCGTGGGAATTGGCCGAGGGGGSCCCCGCAAACGTCGCACCAGGAAAGGCAAAGAGGCAAGAGGAGGAAAGCGGCGCCGGGAGTGCTTTGTGTTGGAGGTTAGTTCAAACTATAAGTCCTGATGAGGATGGAAAAACATACATGCATGTATGTGTGTGTGCAGCATAAAAACAACAAACCCCCACCTCCCCCCATCCAGCCCTGTGCCAAACAGATCTTTCCTTTCCCTGTCACTCTGCGAGGTTTGCACTTTGTGCTCTTTGTGTATAAATGTCATCATGACTGCACACACAAAGGAGAGGCTGGGCAGCAGGGGAGTTATTTACAAAGACTCTGATCTGAGAGTTATTGGAAGGAAAAATAATGAAACTGTTCCTCTGCAGCGACAAAGTCCGACCAAGTCTCCTGCTCAGGACTCAGTCATAAGGAAACTCATATATAATGTATAATATAACATACAGTATAATGCTCATTTTGTATTAATGAAATAAATCATTAGTTACTGTATAAAAAGACCATTTTGCTGCATTACTGCTTAAAAAAGCAAACGTTAAATGCAAGACCAGAATTTTGGCAACAGAAAAAAAGAGTAAAGATTCATCATCTGTGTTGTAGCCACCAAAGCTTCAAGCTTTTTATTAATTCAATTTCACTTATAAAAGCACTCATTCAAAACAAATCAGGCACTAAGTTGTTTTTTTTTTTATTGAGAGGCTGAAATCAGTCCTGAATCAGACCGAAAACCCTCCAGAACACGTGTCAAACTCAAGGCCTGCGAGCCAAATGCAGCCCGCAGATGACTACTGTCTGGACCGCCAGAAGGCCCGCCACCTCAATAAATAAATAAATAAATAAATAAATAAATAAATAAATAAATAAATAAATAAATGTGAGCTGTGTGTGAAAATACTTTTATATCAATGGTCAACTTTAAATTTATGATTCAATGCAACAAAATAAACATTTAAAAGTGAAGGATAATACTTGTCCTGCTCCTGAGCTTTTGGCTTTGCGCAACTCTGGTCCCCTGAGACATTTAGTTGAACAGTCCTGTACTAATGCCTCAAAATAAGCTGCTTTAAAGCCAGGATCGACCATAAACTACATCTCCKACAACGCATGTTGATTATGCATGGGAATTCCCTGTCGGGAAGTGGGAGAGGTCAGAATTCAAGACTCAACWGTGAGTAAAACTCTCTTACTTTTACTTTTAATAGTATTTCTGTAATATTTATTTCACATTTAGTCAGTTGTACTCGTGGTGTTATGCGGTGTTTATAAGAGAACATGTTAAAACACTGTTTCTATGCAGGAAATACCAGGTAGAGCTCAGTTATGGATTGTTAGTAGTGCTCGGACATAGCAACGAGACGAGGAACACAAAACGTCAAAGTTGATCAGCTGAGTTGGACACCTCTGCTCCAGAACTTTTTACAGCATAGAAACAAATAAATATGTAACGAGCAAGCCAGGTTTTACAAGGAATAATTCATTTAAAAAGAACAAAATGCTCCTTTAACAACATTAAATGTGTTCCTTCTTTTAACTCCATTCAATCTTGATTTAATGAATGTGCAGCAGTGGATGTGATCTTGGATGAAAATACGACCACAGCTGTAACAAATAAGAACTGGTAGATGGYTTTATGCTGTTTAATTACAGACAGTATGTAATTAAAAAAAACCTGTGTAAACTTTCTTTATTTCTGTATTTTTTTTTGGTAAAAATCTAACCACGGGGAAAAAACAAATCTGCTTCACATATAAAACTGCAGGAGTTTTATTGTTTGAAATGTAATAGTTTCTTGTATTTTCCCAAGAAAATATATATATATTTTATGTAATTCCACCAAAATGACAGATACAAAATTTTAAAGAGGACTGACTTTTTCCAATTTATCAAATCTTATTTCACATTTGTTTAAAGTTTGTTCAAATACAGTCACGTTTTAGTTAAATAAAAAAACAATCTTCTCATACATAACCAACGACACAGGAGGGCTAAAGTTAATATAGGGAGTCTCAGCATAAAAAGTACCTGAAAATGAGCTACTAGCTAACTAGGTTCTTTATAAGCTCTGTTGCACCGATTAAAGAATAATTGTATTTCTAACATAATACTGCATTAAAAGTGCAGCATTTACTTTACATCATGATGCAACATAAATCAACAGGACAACTCCGACTCAGGAGATCCTCCATAAAACCAAACACTCCTCTCTTACAGACGAGTGCTCTGCAAACCTTCACAAAGAGCCTCTTGCTCCTTCTAATAACCCGACCGTCCGCTGTCCAAACACAGCAAACATCTGATCGCCGAGCAGCTCGTGTCTCTAAATATAGAAAACTGGAGGAGAGGGTTGCAGCTGGTGTATTTATTCTTTTCTCTGACCTAAAGGCCTAACTCGTGTCTTCAGAAACAGCAGACCTCAGTTTTGCTGGTGGGGTTTAAATGTTGGTTTTATACGCTAAAAATGTATTTTTTAAAAGTTCAAAAATATCCTCCTTTGATTTGTTTTTTACCAGAAACTTATTAACTTAAATTAAAGAATTATTTTATTTTACTAAACACCAGGAAAAAGTTCAAAATTTCCACTTATATACAAGTTACTTAAAATCAGAGGTGTATAGTAACAAAGTACACTTATTTTGTTACAGTACTGTAATTTTACAAAGTATTTTTTAAATCATAACTTCTACTTTTACTTTTTTACATTCATAAAACATAAATATATTRACCCCTTCACTTTAAAATTCAACACATCATTACACTCAAATTTAAATACTGTATGATCAGAACTCATTAAACAAAGTTGTTTATGCACTTAAAAAAATAAAGAGATCAATTTACTTAACTAAGTTATGTTAAGTGGTTATTCCTCAATTTATACATTTTCTTTCAAAGAAAAGGTGTAAATTGCTTTAATTTTACTGGACTCAGTGGATCCAGTTGATTGCCGGATAAGTAAATTCAAGGCTTCACTAACGTTCACACTGCAGGTCTTCATGCTCAATTGTGATTTTTTGAAAAAATCAGATCTTTTTGTGTTGAACGTTCACATTACATTTTAAATGTGACCTGCATCAGAC